AGTTGCAATGAGGGCCATAAATATTGAAAGAACCCAGAGAAAGGGTTCGGTTCTAGTCAAGTAAAGTTAGTAAGACCTCTGTCTTTTTTTTCTTAAGTGTACGTCCATATAATTTTTATTATAACCACAACAACATCCCCATAATTCAATAAGAGGAAAGGACACAAAATCCTGACTATGGGAACAATATTCTCCACATTATTGAAAGTTCGGTTCCTCAGGAAAAAAGAGATTATTAAAGAAGTTATTCCACTGTGTTAACCAAATTATTGTCATCTCATAGTTTGGTTTTTTGTTTTTGTTTTTACTTTTTGAGCCGGAGTCTCACTTTGTCCCCCTCGGTAGAGTGCTGTGGTATCACAGCTTACAGCAACCTCAAACTCTTGGGCTTAAGTGATTCTCTTGCCTCAGCCTCCCAAGTAGTTGGGACTACAGGCGCCGCCACCATGCCCAACTATTTTTAAAGACAGGGTCTCCCTCTGGCTCAGGCTGGTCTCAAGCCTGTGAGCTCAGGCAATCCACCCACCTTGGCCTCCCAGAGTGGTAGGATTACAGGTGTGAGCCACCGCACCTGGCCCTTTGATAGTTTAACATTTATGGCAGAATGACATGTCATTCACTGCACATCAGTGTTAAAACAGTAAAAAAAAAAAATTAGTTATTAACTGATAGCCTAAAAAAAGCATCTTTCAGTATATGAGATGCTCCTTGATCATAGTCATTCAAGAATCTTTACATGTTGACCAAGTATGACCTCTGTCTTCTGTGGGGCCTGTACAAAGTCCTCCTGGGTCTCTAGGAGGAGATTTCCTCTCCCCATCCTTCCCACTTTGCCAAATACCAACAGATGTGGGTACCAGTTTGACGCCTTATTTCCCTGTGGGCCTGCTCAGTCCTATGGTGTTGGAGGAGAACTGGGTTGAACATCGGAGGCCAAAAGCTGTGGTCAGTTACTCATGTACAACCGCAGAAATATCCTGTTCACGAAAACCACGCCGAACAATCTGAGGCTCAGAGGGAAATTTTGGTTCTAGAGGTAGACCAAAATTCGCTCCGAGGATATGAAAAGATTTAATTCAGAATGTTGATTATAGTTTGCTCTGTCCGTAAAGAAATCTTTATTGTTAAAATTCTCTTTACAGCCATAGCTAGGATTCCTTTCTTACAATCTTATCCTTAAACCAAAAGTAAATATTGTTACGTCCGCCCTTTTCCTCTCCCAGCACGCCAACTCGATTATAGGATTCCGGAGGAGATCAAACTATTTTAGTTATACTCAGGGGTTATTGGGGACAAAAATGTTAGAGGACAGAATTCTTTCACCTCCCTTCCACCGCCTGTGCTTGTTATCATTTGTGCTGAGAAATCATGAAGGGACCTCACCCCAGGGGATACACCAACAACTGTTTCTGTTTAGCTCCGTGAGCAGGCCCCTGTTTGGGGTGGGGGTAGAGGATTAGATCATAACATAAGTCATTAACAGTTTTCAAACAATGCCATCCATCACACAGGCCTTCCTTTATAAAACTTAAGTTCTTACATGGGATGTCTCCTTAGGAGGGAATCATCTTTAAAGCACTTGGGGATTCTGAGAGACGAACCACAAGCAGTTGATTGGCTGGAACCCCTCCCGAAGTGTGGATGTTTCTCACACAGCGCACACTGTGGTGACCTTCACATGCCTTTGGATTTAGTTCAGTGAATCAAACTCCTGCTTTTTGAAAGTAGGAGATTTTTGTGGTTAGATACCCCTTGTGGTTAGATACCCCCTATTTCATAGGCTTGTTAGGAGTTTGAAATGAGATAACATGGCTCGGTGCCTGTAGCTCAGCAGCTAGGGCACCAGCCGCATACGCTGGGACTGGTGAGTTTCAACCCGGCCCCGGCCTGCCAAACAACAATGACAACTACAACAAAAAATAGCCAGTCATTGTGGCAGGGGGGCCTGGAGTCCCAGCTACTTGGGAGGCTGAGGCTAGAGAATCGCTTAAGCCCAAGAGTTTGAGGTTGCTGTGAGTTGTGATGCCACGAATCCCCAGCCCAGGCCCGCCAAACAACAATAATGGCTGCAACCAAAAAAAAAAAAAAAAAAAAACAGTCATTGTGGCAGGGGGGCCTGGAGTCCCAGCTACTTGGGAGGCTGAGGCAAGAGAATCGCTTAAGCCCAAGAGTTTGAGGTTGCTGTGAGTTGTGATGCCACGCATTCTACCCAGGGTGACATAGTGAGACTCTGTCTCAAAAAAAAATGAGATAACATAAGTGAAAGCTTTTTGTCCATTGTAAAATACTATACAAATGTACAAATGCAAGGCGTCACATCATCATTGCTGCCAATAAGGCTGATGAGACCAAACTCTTAGGAGAGCGTGTTTTGTAGTTTATGTATGTTTTTACATATTGAGTTTGGTTTTCTTAAAAACATAAAATCATTGTAATTTTCTTAGTAGTTTCATAGAAGTGTAACTTTTGCATATATCCTCTACCAGGGTTGCACAGCTCTGGGGGACACCGTTCAGTTGTGTAGCTGAGTCACCAGAAGCATCCCTTTCCCCACAGCTGGGCCAGTGATAGCTCCTGTTGTAAGAGTGTGGATCAACCCAGCTGAGGTGGTTAATACGGAGAATTTACAATCCTGTCCTCTTTTACCTGCCTAACTTCTTTATTTTATAAACATCAACTCAAACGCTGCTTGTTTTGGTCAAATTCTCGCCAAGTTCTTTTCGCTGGGCTGTGGATTGAAACATAAGGAGTTGTGTTCCTTCTTCATTGATTGAAAACGGAGCTGAAAAGAGAGGTGTGAAACGCAAATCACTTTTAAACCCTAGAGGCTGAGGGCCTAGTCGGTGCCAGGGCTCAGCACACTTTTCCTAAAGGGCCAGAGGGGGAATATTTTTGGTCTGTGGCTCACGTAGTCCCTGCCTCAGTCCCTACTCAATGGCTCTGTTGTAGTGTGAAACTGACCCCAGATGATATGTAAATGAATGAGCTTGTCTGTGTTCACATAAAACTTCACTGATGGAGTAAACGTGAATTGCATATAATTTTCAAATGTCATGAAATATTATTCTCCTTTTGACTTTTTAAAAATCATTTCAAAATATGGAACCCATTCTTAACTAGAGGGGCCATACAAAGATGCTAGTGGGTTGTATAGCATCCCAACTCCTGATCTCTGCGGGTCTCACTGTTGAGGATAATGAGTCGCTGTGCACAAGTAGTGGCTGCATCAGTCCCCAGCTGGGACAGAGTCAGGCTCACCCGTCATCTGGCCTGCTGGGGATCTGGAATTCTGGTTCAACCCTCACCCTGATGCTTTCCAGCTGTGACCTTGGCTTAGTCACATGGTATCAGAGTCTCAGGCTGCTCATTTCACAAATTGGGATTAAAATTTGTTTTTCTGTCTCCCTCATAGCACTGGTATGAATCTCAAATGAGATCTCGGCTACGTAGCAGTTTGTGAACGTGGAAGCATTATGGAAATCTTGAAGTGCATGAGCATTTTAGCAGTCTTACTCCTAGTTTCCTCTGTTGTGTCCATTTTCCAAAAGTACATCAACATTTTAATCATCCTTCACCAAACATTTTTGGAAGGCCTGTTCTATGCCAATCTGAGCCCTGAGGACATTCAGAATAATAGGATCTGGACCTTGCCCTCAGAGGAGGGGGGAAAAAGGAAATTACAATGTGGCCCGTCACAAGGGTAGCAGAAGAGGGATGGAATGAGCAGAGGTGGAGAGACCAGTCCTGTGTGGGAGATGGAGCCAGGGGAGAGGCAGGGGCCGCCCAGGGGAAGTGCTAACAAGGCAGGTCCCGGGAGGAGGGTGTCTCGGGGTGGCTTGTAAAGCCAGATGACATAGAGCAACATGGAGGACTTGGGGAAATAACTAAGTATGAGGCGCCCAGCATGGGTGAAGGACCCATCAGGAAAGGATGCTGGAGAGAGGTGGTAGGGGAGGAAGGAAGAACTTCGTGTTCCATGCTAGACAGTCTGGATGCTTTTCCTCTAACAGGAAAGTCATGTAGTGGGAAGTCATTAAGGGTTTAGTCAGGGCTCATGATCAGCTCTGGGCTCTGGAATAGTCACCCTGGGGACAGATCTGGAGGAGGGAATATTTGTAAGGGAGGATGGCGTTGGAGACAGGAGGACTCTGTGATAGCACAGATGGCCATCAAGAGGAGCTGGGCTACCGGATAATAGCACTAAGGAGAGGAGAATAAGGAGGCTCTCCCAACATGCAGACAGTAAAGCAAAAGAGTATTTTGAAAGTGGAATAATATTATGACTACACTGGGAAAGCACAGTATTTAAAGGTATTGAAATTTTTTAGGGGGGAGCAGTTTTTGGCCAGGGCTGGGTTTGAACCCGCCACCTCTGGCATATGAGGCCGGTGCCCTACTCCTTTGAGCCACAGGCACTGCCTGGTATTGAATCCTTTTATAATTAAATATTAACACACACACACACATGAATTATCAGACACAAATTCCTAAATTTAGGTGTTTGCTTTCAAATTTTCTTCCAATTAGGGAGTCTATAGAATAGAGCAATAAAGTACCATACTTCAAGTGCCTGGGTAACTCATGTTACAGTTTCCACTCTAAAGAGGGTGATTGGGGGAGGGAGGGTGATTGGTGGGACCACGCCTATGGCTTATCTTTCAAGGGTACATGTGAATCTTTCTAAATGTAGAATATAAATGTCTTAACACAATAACTAGGAAAGTGATATGAAGGCTATGTTAACCAGTTTGATGAAAGCATTTTCAATTGTATATAAAACCAGCACACTGTACCCCATGAGTGCATTAATGTGCATAGCTATGATTTATATAAAAAGTAATAAAATAAAAAAAAATAAAGAGGGTGATTGACAGAGCTTTCACAAAGCGAGTCTTCATTAACAAATAGAAAAGTGTCAGCTCCTGCTGGGATTTTGATGACCCTTTGCTTAAATCTTGATTTCTCCATGGAATGCATTATGATTTATGTTTTTGTTTCAGGAAAAGGTCCAAGCCTTAAGGAATCAAATCCAGTTTCTCCACGTAAGTCTTTATGCAACTATTTCGAAATCAAGCCTCCTGGGCTTTCATGAGAATGAGTCGGTTAGGGAACCTCTGCCAGACTGAGTTTTGATAAGGAGACTTCTCTCCTCCTCCCTTCCCCTTTCCTCTTTTTTCTCATACTTTTTCTGTTTTTCTCTGTCCTTTATCCTCCTTCCTTTTCTCCTTCTCACTTTTGCCATTTAAAAATATGAATTTGGGCGGCGCTTATGGCTCAGTGGGTAGGGCACCAGCCCCATATACCCAGGGTGGCAGGTTCAAACCCGGCCCCAGGCTAAACTGCAACAAAAAAATAGCCAAGTGTGGCGAGTGCCTATAGTCCCAGCTACTTGGGAGGCTGAGGCAAAAGAATAGCTTAAGCCCAAGGGTTGGAGGTTGTCGTGAGTTGTGACTCCATAGCACTCTACCGAGGGCGATAAAGTGAGACTCCATCTCTTAAAAAAAAAAGTATGAATTTGTTGACCCATTGGTGTGTATGCCCTATTGAGGAAGGTAGTAACCTACTTAGTTTTAGGGAGGTAAGTTAATTACGTGCAGACCATATTGGATGTGGTCTGGAAGCATCAGCATACAGCTGGGGGAGGGGCTTGCTTTAAGTCTTATTACAGTATTTGCCTGCTCAGAGAAGTGGTGCTAAGAAAACTCATTGCCATACCTTCAAGAGGACATCCAGTCCAAGGGGTGGGGAGATGAGGATGAGCACTTGAGAAACCAGAGATAACACCAATTGCCACAGAATGATGAGTAGGAAGTAACTGAGGCCAATTGTTTTCTATGGAAGAAAACTCTGACCCTCGGTTTCCTGGCTGGCCACCCAGAGCTTTTCCAGGCAATGATGTCTCGTGTGGACAATCTGTGCTTTTTTCTTCCCTAAGACGCCCAGGGCTGATCTCCATGTCTGATTCCATCATATACATATAATAAGCAATCTGGAGAGTTCCTTTATATAAAGCACTTCATAAGCCATTCTTCTAAATGGATTATTTTAAAAAGATTATGGAGCAATATTATGAACTCGGAAAGAGAGAAGGAAGGAAGGAAAGGAAACGAAATATGTATGGACACATTCTCTCCTAGTTTCTTAGTCTGATTTTTATAATGGCATCTTCATCTTCAGACTTTTAAAACATTTTCACTAAAAACTTGCAGTCACATTCCATTTTTGCATCTGTCGCCATACGGATGCCAGCCATCTTTCAGTGCTTCCTTACAGACTAGATTGAACTAAGTAGGCTCCCAGTCTGGTTCATCTTAACCTCTGGGGAGCTCATGCCGGTTCTTGTGCCTTCCAGTGGACCCCCATCCTTTTATAAATTCCTGCTGACCTTCAGCAAGTTGAAGGGGTGTTACCCTCATTTTCAGAGGTTGGATGAATACACCAAAGAGCACATGGCTGGAGGAATGGGGACCAGAACTTGAGAGCTGGTCTCTTTCCAGACTCTTTCCCGCCAGGATGTACTTTTCCTGAGCACCCTGGTGTGCGGGGGATACTCACGGGCCACGTACATGTTCAAGTAACAGCAGTGTGTCAACACTGGAGAGAGTTGAAAGGCAGAGAGGCAGAGAGATTTAACTCATAGAAGAGACCAGCTGGAGTTGCTTCTAACCAGAGCAGAAAGCAGAAACGGTATTGAAATAGTGGGGAGATCCTAATATCTTCCATTTCTATTAGAAAAACACAGCCCTCGGAAATTTTATTCTACCCAAAACCCCTCTCTCCCTTGGAAACCAATTTTAACTTTTTATAAGTAACTCCAAGAAGGTACTTCTCTTAAATGAAAGGAAATGTTCTATTTCTGTGGGCTGGAATTAATTTCAAATATAAAAATCTTTGCCAAATGGAGGAACAATTGATTCTATTTATGTGTTTTGCTGACCATAAAACTGACATCACTCCCTACTGGGAGGTATTTCCGTTCCCCTCATAGAAAGATCGTAGTTGGAAAAGTGTTAAAAAGTAGGTGGTTTTAGATGACATAATACCCAGTTGTTAAGATTTGGAGTTTAATATGAGGAGATCAGTGAAATGTGATGCACGGGAGTAGTTTGTTCTTATCCTATATTTTTTCTCGCTCTTTCTTCCTGTTATCTTTCATCCTGTCAAATGTTCACGAAGATCTGTGTGATTTCTGGGCACCACTTCATCATTGCAGGTGTTAGTCACTAAGAAGCAATGAGTCAGATTTCATAATAATGGACAGTGACTTCATTTTCCAAAGGATCTTAACCTGCGAATTTTCAAACCACCCTCCATTCCAATGGTAGCGACCAGGAGACCCCGGGCTTAATGTTTTAGCGTTCACAGATCTGATTTTTTCGTGTGTTGTTCAGAATAAATAGCAGACTGAGGACATATTGGAAACCTGATAAATTTTTTCTTTGACGAAAACCTTGCAGGTTATAAACTAGAGTATGTTTTATTGGAATCCTCCTTAGATTCTTCATTAATCAGTGCTTAGCCTTTATGACAATGCTTTCAAAACAAACATAAAACTGTAATGTGTGAGGCAGACTAAGTCTTATGGTGTGTGTCTTGTTTTCCTAACTTTATAGCGATTTTCCATGGTCTGGACACCCTGACTGTGATGGGCATTGCATTTGCAGCGTTTGTGATCGGAGCACTCCTGACCGGGGCCTTGTGGTACATCTATTCTCACACCGGTAAGTTCGACCATTGAATAGTAATTGGTGCACATCTTGTGTGCCTGCCACACAGCAGACGCGTGTTATTTCCTTGGGTGAATGACTGGATGAAATAATGAATGAAAGAAAGTCCATTTCTATTATTTTCACATATACCTACTTGGCATAAATAAAAAATTACTTTTAGCTTAACCTGGTAGAAAAGGAAATGTTAAACTATTTATGTTAATTGCAATTGTGATGTTAGTGAAGCTTGCTTCTAATAAAGCTATTTCATTGTTAGAATTTAGTTAAGAGAAGTTGATATAGACTATCTGGAAACATAAACCATTGCTTGAAAGCTAAAGGCTTAAGAATAGTCATATACGTGGGCAGAAAGTGAAAAGGGAAGCCAGGATTCTATTACTACATTTGCCGAGGTATGGAGCGCTCTCCACCAGAGTCCCTAATCAGTGATTTAAACCAGACTTTCTCAGCCTTGTTTTAACCCAAGCCATGCTTTCTGTGATAAACATAAAATCCTCACATCTTTCTATAAAGCTAAGTGTTCAAAATATATTTTCATGAATTGAAAAGAAATAAAAATAGCAAAGCAAAGCACTCATTTTTCAAGCTGTTCTCCCTTAATTTCCAAAATTTCAATATGCCCCCTTCCACTAATCCCAAGGTTGAAACATCCTAGTCTGAACAAATGGATTGCTCATCTCTATTGCTTTTTCTTTGAATTTCCTTGCAAATATGTGAATGCATTCCTTTAGAGGCACATTTAGAGAGCTAGCTGGTTTTGTTCATCTTTTTTTTTTTTTTTTTGATACGGAGTTTTACTCTGTCACCCTGGGTAGAGTGCCATGGTGTCATAGCTCACAACAGCCTCAAACTCCTGGGCTCAAGCAATCTTCTTGCCTCAGCCCCCTGAGTAGCTGTGACCACAGGTGCCCACCATAACACCTGGCTAGTTTTCCTATTTTTAGTAGAGATGGGGTTTCAGTCTTGCTCGGGCTGGTCTTGAACTCCTGAGCTCAGGCATTCCCCTCGTCTCGGCCTCGTCTTGTTCATTCTCAATACTTGGAGTTTACACTGTGAACCTAAGTAAACTGCAAGATTGATCAGTCAGAAGCAAGTGGCAGACCCAGCCTCTCTTGAGAATTTCCTTAATTCTTCATTGAGGCAGTGAATGCCGTGATCTGTGGGCTCACCTTGGACTATCTGGCCAACCTGAAAGAATGACTGATTTAAAGGGGTCTTATCGGAACTCTCTTGATTGCTAGACAAAACCTTAACCTGTTGGGAATATCAGCATGACCCTCTGGTAGTTAAAAGTGCAGACTCTTTTTCATCAGAATTTTTACTTCAAATACTTTATCTCCCCACTGGGGTATTTTAGATGTTGGCAGGAGAGGAACGAATCCTTTTGTGCCTAGCATGGCTCGTTCACCTGATCCAAAGCTGACCTCTTGGCCATAGTGGGGACTTTAGTAGTGGGACTTTGAGTCCTCAACGTCTTGTTCCTATCAGCATGTGCTGAGTGAACTACATTTAAATGAAAGAGACTAAGACTCTCAGTGTGATGATTCTGAGTACTACCTATTGTACAAGTGTCTGTGAATCCTTTCAGTTTATAAAAGGACCAGAAGGACAGCATTTAGCACAGCAGCAGTTCAGGGTGAATCATTTTGTCACAGGAATACTGACATGTTCAGATTGCAGACTAACAGTTCTTTGCAACTTTTTCCAACCTCCTGCATGGCTTAGCGTTTCTAGGGCTGTTGGCTGCCTATGTTGACTGTTGAGAATGAACTTGAAAGTGCTCCAAGAAGACTGTGTAGCTCACAGACACTTCACATGTGCTTGCTCAGCCACTGATGGCCTTGGTTACAGAGCTGCGCCCTCCCAGCTAATCTTGGGACAGGAAGCCAGATCTAGGCAGAATATAGGGCCATCAGATGGCACCCACTGTTGGAACACACCCCACTGAAGTCACTCCAGTAATCCCAGATAATTATCCACAGCCACTAATCTGTTCCATGCACACAAATCTGATTTTTTTTTTTAAAAAAGGCTTGGTTGCAGGGTACATGTCGTTGTTCATGGAGTTTTGTTATTACTGGTGGCTTCCCCCCCCCCCAACCAGATACTTCAGGACGGTTTTTTAAAGTATTGTTAAAACAGAAATAAGTTTGTAAGTAGATTTAAGGAAAATGAAACCAAAAATCCTTCTGGCGATGCTTCCCAGCAAAATAAACTATGCTGTCATTTGGGCTTAAAATCTGTTAGCATCACTTACGATATAGCTTCAAAATTACTTTTTATTAAAAATGGTAGCCTCCAGTTCATTGACAGGCTGCTCATAAGGAATACCAGTGTCCTGCAAACCTGAAGAAGGCTTACTCCAGGACGAAAGGATAGTTCCTGTCCAGAACCCCTCAGTTGCATACCTGGGTCAGCAAGCTGCAAGTTTAGATTAATAGGAAAGATCATAATGTTGAGGCTGGTGGGGAGAGGAGTGTGGACAAATCCTGGCATTCTATTCAGGTTTAACAATAATCTAAGCTGTAGAACTCAGACCTTACATGGTATATTGAGGGGTTCAGACAGCATCTGCCTTTGTGTCAAAAACAATCCTTCATTTGGGTGATTCTCCCTTTGATCAGTCTTTCCATTCTATCTGCAAGACAGAGCACAAACCAGGTCATATATTTGGATTGTGGATATCTGCTTACATACCTCGAATGTGCCTTAGACTAAAAAGCCTGGGTTCCCACTTTAGCATATGACAACTTTGTGCACAATAAGAGATACTCCCTTAAGGACATATTAATCTGTTTGGAAACTCCCCTTTTAAAACCTACATTCTCTCCTAAGATGGTGCAGAGAGAAAGAGGGGTGGGGTGGGCATGGGAATGATGCTGGAATGGAGCTATAGAACAGGTGTCCTCAAACTACGGCCCGCGGGCCACATGCAGCCCGCCTAGGACATTTATCTGACCTGCGGGTGTTTTTTCCATCACTGCCTGTCCTGCTTAGCAGCCAACTTGTCCCAGGGCCCGCAGTCCAGTCCTCCAACTGTCTGAGGGACAGTGAACTGGCCCCCTGTTTAAAAAGTTTGAACAGTAGCTTACACTTCCTGCTATAGAATCTTCACACATTTGGGGAGCCTGGCTAATTCTGGGGTCTGTGAAGGTCCCTAAAATCATACACAAAATTGTGTCTGTTATTTTCTTGAGAAGAGAGATAAAAGCTTTTATTTTTATTTTTTAATAAAACTTTAGTTTGATCATAGTAATACATACACATAGTTTAAAGGCTGACATAGTTCTATAAGACTTGTTAGTGTTACTTAGTTCAATGTAAGCATTTCACATTGTATATCGAAGCAGTACCCTGGACCCCATAAATGCATCAATGTACAAAGTTATGATTTAATAAAAAATAATAATAAAATAATTTTGGAAGAAAGAAAAAAAAATTGAGACCCCTGCCTCCCCCTACTCTTATTTTCTTGCAAGAATGCCTTATTTTCCCCCTCTGTAGAGTGCAGTGACAACATAGCTCACAGCAACCTCAATCTCTTGGGCTCAAGTGATTTTCTTGTCTCAGCCTTTCAAGTAGCTGGGACTACAGGTACCCACCATACCTGGCTAGTTTCTCTATTTTTAGTGGAGACGGGGTTTCACTCTTGCTCAGGCTGGTCTCAAATTCCTGAGCTCAAGCAGTCCGCCGGCCTCAGCCTCCCAGAGTGCTGGGTTTACAGGCCTGAGCCACCATGCCTGGCCCTACGAGTACCTTTCTTGACTCTGAACTAATTCTTTTGGGCATTGATCCATACCTCTAAATTACATGAGACATTGCTGCTCTTGACTTTTTAGTTTTAGACCTGTTCTATTGACCTTCTATGGAAAATGAGGATATAGCTCTCTTTTACCCCTATGTCCAGTGGTACATTTCTTTCTTGTCCCCTTTTCCCACCATCTTCCTAATAGAACACTGAAATTTTGGTTAGATATGTATTTACTGTTTACATTATTATACTAACGAACACTAATTACAATTTGGCCATATAATATTATTTCTCCTGCATGACTCTTAATTTTCCTTAGAATTAATAATTATCTTTCCTCAACAACCCTCCTCTTATTTTTGTTTTGTCTTCTTTTTTTTTTTGCAGTTTTTGGCTGGGGCTGGGTTTGAACCCACCACCTCTGGCATATGGGGCTGACTCCCTACTCCTTTGAGCCACAGGCACCGCCCCACCCTTATTTTTTTTAATTTATATTTATTTTGACATGGAGTCTTGCTCTGTCAACCTGACTAGAATACAATTGCATCACCATAGTTCACAGCAACCTCAAACTCTTGGGCTCAAGCCATCCTCTCCCTTCAGCCCCCTGAGTAGCTTACACTACAGGTCCTCGACACCACACCTGGATAATTTTTTTATTTTTTATAGAGACAGGGACGTCACTATGTTGCCCAGGGCTGGTCTTAAACTCCTGACCTCAAGTGATCCTCTCACCTCAGCCTCCTAGAGTGCGAGGATTGCAGGGATGAGCTACCACACCTGGCCTGAATGACCTTTTTAATGGGCATTGATTAGAGTAAATGGACATGGCAACAAATTGTCTTTGGCAAGTAGATATCAGAAAGCAAATATTTAGACTTCCTGGGCAGGGCATAGTACCGGGCAGTCTTCCTGAACATGAATAATAAGCGCATGTCAAATTCTGGAGGAGACAAAAGTCATTCACTGTTGCTGAGCCAAGTCCATCTTGCTGTAGGTGCCATCAGGCTGAGCACATGAAGCCCAGGTCAGCTAAAAGACATCGAGGTTTGTTCACTTAACTGTGGCTGGTGTGGGTCATTCCTGGAACCTTCGGTTTCACCCTCTTCAGAGAGTAAACCTTCTCTCCGAATGAGGAAGGGCGGGGTCCAAGTACGCTGGAGTGAGGCAGGAGATTTAGAGAAATCTTAGTTAGTGCTTCTTATACACAAGTCAGCCAACCCCTGAGCTTATAGCCCCT